TTGGTCTAAACTAGGCGTCATGGCCAATTCAGGTTAGCTGAAACTTCTAATTTTCAGTGAAGATCAATAACTTTTGGCATGAAGAGAAAAGAGGCTCTCTGGCTATGCTTTTAATAATAAATTACAATAACCAATTTCAAATCTTCCTAAGGATTTGAACCTGTATATTGATAATAAACCAATTTCCTAGTTACCAACTTCACAAATCAATTTCAACTTACATTAGTCAAACTAGCAGAACATATTTTATTACATTTTAAGTCACAAAAATTCAATAAGGATAAAGAAATAAAAAGAATCATAAATTGATCTCATGAAGTGAATTTTTTAAGGAAGCTTCTCAATACCAAGAAAAAGAAGTAAATCGAAAAAAATGAGAAAATCTGATAGGGGAGCGGATAAAAGGCAGGAATCAACCAGAAGTTCTATGAAAAATTATCAATAGCAAAAGTTTTAACTTTCTCTAAAAATTGCCATTCTTTGCAGTGAACAGCGGAAAGTAATGTTCAAAGACAAGCAATAAATTCTTAATCTTATACATTCATTTCTAAAATTACTTAACTTCCTCAATTTCTTGTGTGAGCGTAAGATTTGCTTCCATCTATGAAGCCCTCACATCCGCATCTCGTCTGTGGTTCGTTTCGTTGCTTTGGTACATTTTTACTAGTCTTATAATTACTTGCAGACATACGATTATAGTACGGAAGAAAACGGAAAAATCTTTTAAGACTGCTGTTTCCTGAATTGGATCTATTTACCGGAACTGCTTCATATGACAGATATACTACAAGTTATGAAGAAATTTCTTTAAACAACATAACTTTAATGTGAAAATTGATTGGATTTAGATTTCAAATGATAAATTCATCCAAATTGACTCAAGACAAAATGCGTCCAAACATCAATCAACTGTCAAACAAAGCCTACTCTCAAACTTTGTATCTCTCGTTCATTTATTTGTGGCATAAATTATTAACCTTTATTGGCAATAATGAACAATCGTGTGGGCACAGAAGGGAAATTTTTCTTCTTTTGTAATTAAGAAAATTGAATGTAACAAGAAGAAAAGAAGATTGTAATCATGCTGAATTCAGTTCCAATTTCATGAAAAATTATTTTCAGCCCAAGTCAATAAAATTTCACTTCGATTATTATTATAGAGATGTTATATAAAGGTAAAAAATTCCTCATTCTACACAACTCGATTTATTTATTTATTTGTGTACGGTGCCTCTGCTGACATTTTCAATTGACCTCTCCATTTCCCTTCCTCTCCTTTCGACTACCGCTGTGATAAATTACTGTTGCCATTTTCCCCTTAATTCCTAATTGAATTGTTTAGATTTTTCTTCTTTTTTTTTATTCCACTGTGTTCTGCTCTCTTTTTTCTACGCTCATACTGTATGAAACGTAGAAGCTAATGGCAGTCTGTTGTTTATTTTTCTTTCCTTCTTTTTGTTTGTACTAGTGGACAGACTAGTTGAAAATTAATGGAAATGTTTAAAGCTTTAATCCTTAGATTTATAATTGCTTTCTTTAAGGAGTCGTTTGCTTATGAAATTCGTCAAAAAGCTGGTTATTAAAATCATTTCCTCTTTCTGCCACAACACTTCCGCATATGCTTAGATGTCATTGGTTCCATAAATTTGAAGAAAATTGAAGATTAGGAACCAAAATTGATCAAAAACAAAGATCCAATGAAGTCATAAAATCTCATCAATGTTTAAAAGCTCAAGCGTCAGCTTTGTGCGGTCGCTTAGCTTTAGAAGCTAGCTTCTTGAGCTTACATAACTGCTAATAATGACACAATTTAAAACTCTACAAAAACACACACACACACACATCTGACCAAAACTATATAAATCCAAATCATCGTGTATTTAACTTTCATTTTTTTGTATGCACTTTTTGTTATTATCATTGTACTTGCACCATGCATTAAAAAAAGCTAGTGCTTTTCAGTTGAATGGTAGTTGAAAAATAGAACAAATGAAGAACATAAGTTGAGAGCTTCCATGCATCCTCACATAAAGATTCCTTTGATTTAATTAAAAACCTTGATAAAATTAGAAGCTCTTTAGAAGCTTTATGAAAAGTCTGCAATAATGAGGCTATAGAAGCTTTTAGGAATGAAAAAAGTAAGAGCATTAACGTTACAAAAGGATTATATTTGATACTTGGATGTGTTTAGATAGAAAACAGTCTATTAAAAGTTAATATTTATTTTCGGAAGGATTTTAAGATTCTATGGATGGATGTTGAAGTGCTCTCAAAGTAAATATCATGAACTATAAAAATAATTTGTGCTGCTTTAATGAAAAACTGAAAGTTTAATTTAGAAAATTGAAACTCAATATAATTTAAGGATAGCAATAAGCTCATAACAATGAGAAACCTTTTTATATTAATATGAACATTAAAGTTTCATGAATTTCAAGCAGATTGGAGATTCCTTTGATGTTGTTGAAAATTGAATTGTTTTAAGAATTCGATGATTAAGTCTTAAGGAGGATGAAGGTGATTGAATAATGACTAGAACAGCTTCCTGTATGCTGCAAACTCTACTATTGTAATAAAACAACTTAGTCAAGCATTAATATCCAGCAAAACTGCCTGTAAAACATCAACCAACTCAGCCTTATTGAATTCAGACAGTCAAACACAAAAGACACTCCAAAAAATTCTCAAAACTCATTCAACGACCTTATAATTTACACAAAAAAAAATTAAAGTCCAACAAAATGAAAATCATCCAACAAATGCTCATAAATGCTTAACAAATTTATTCCAAGATCATCACTTATGATAATCAACACGCGTCCACTTAAACGAATTCAGTAAAGCGACACCAAAAGCTATGCCTGGAAGTTTTATATCATCCGTCTGCTAAACAAATTAGTTCTATGCTATTTAAGCTCAACAAACTAGTTCATTCAAGCGACTATCATTGAGAGAATAAATTTTCTAGTTTTTTTTTCTATTTGACAAAAAAAATTCTTTTTATTACAAAACTTTTCTTTATTTATTATAATGAAGAGATAAAAATCTGAATAATAAAGCTCTCGTGAATCCAATTTTGTATCAGAAAGTTGGTTTTTTTTAAAAGATTTGATTTCAACGGAGCATGAAACGATAAACAAACTGAAAATTTCCTAAATAAATATTTATAATGTGTTTATTGACATCCTTAAAACATTGTCTCAATAGCTCATAAATTTATTTTTAGCTTCACCATCGAAAAAAAAGAAGCTCAATGCCAAAAAATGTTTTTTTTTTTTTATTTTACGTTTACGTTATCGAAATGATTATTTTTTTTGGTATGTACATTACACTACAAGAGCGAATAAGAGAGAGAGAGAGAGGGATATAGAGAGGAAAACACTGAAAACATTCAACACTGTGATGTCCTTGATATAATTTTTCTTCATAAATATTGTGGAAAATAAGTTTGAAAAGCTGTTGTAAGCGAGGGAGAAATGAGGAATATAATATTTCTTAACGTGTAGTGGGCGGGAGGTATTAACAACCTTGAAGATAGTGTTACTGTTTAAAGTTAATATAAGTTGAACTGTTTGTTGCAATTGATAATTTTACAGGATTCAAAATTAAAATTTTCCAACCCTATCAAGAATTGAAGACACTCGTAAAGCATGGAGTGGGTCTAGCTTTTTGAACTGGAGCCACTGCAATTTAAATTAAAATAGAATCTATTGTTTCCGAACCACTTGCAAGCTCTGTACATATCGGAGACACGAGTAAGACCATAGACCTAATGTAACCTGCAATGTACCTAATCACAATTCGTGAGCGCAAGATGCTGGAATGAAATCATCCTCTTGCTAAAATATCCTAGTATACCAAGCAAAGGGACACGTTATGTGCCAAAGACCTCAAAACTACACCCAACACACGAACCGAGCTTCGTCACTAGAACGGTGAAATAGAAAAACAGCTTCTAAAACTTTATTTGGTCTGGGATTGAACCCAGGACCTTTGGAACGTAAGGCCAACGCTCTACTACTTAGGCCACTGATGCCATTTCACCTGAGACCCTTTTACAAACTCAAGCATATTTTATTCATCTAATAATGAAAATATATTTAAATATGAGCTTTGGTGTCATACATATCATCTTTGAGACTGTCTAAAAACCAAATTCTGGCTTTCAAGAAATTACAGCAAACATGTTCATCACCACCAGCAACGATGTCTTTAGGATTTTTATAGATTTTCTCTATTTCCAAGCAAAAAGTCGTTGGACAGTCTTTTAAAAAATTTAAAATGGGGCCGTTCACTTATGACGTTCAGGGTGGGGGGTTAAGAAAAAAACACAATAGAAATTCCTGGAAATCCATTGTTCCTTTTTGAAAAATGACCATTAATTTCGGACGTCATAAGTGAATGGCCCTTATAAGTGAACGGAATAAAGATTTTATTCAAATCTTTTAAGAAATGCAAGTTTAAGCTTCAGACAAAATGCCGCTAAAAAGATGTCCAAGCCTTAATCGCGAATGCAGTCAAAGAGAGAAAATTGACAGAAAAGAAACAAAAGAAAAAAAAATAATTCACATTTAAAGCCAACCAGCAGTTCACCATGGCAATGGCATGAAAAATGTTTTTTCGATTCATAATACTCTCACTTTTATGGCGACGACAACGGAGTGAGTGAAATTATGCTTTCAGTCTCGTGCAGATTTTTTATTTGCGTGGAAGCTTATTCTTTATTGTTTATAACATTAACATTCTCTCTCATTTTTCCGTTCTATATACTTATATTTATTTTACTAGCTGGTGAATTTTTCTTTTATGTTATTTTTGGGTTCCTTAAATACATTATTTTTATTGTTTTCTTATTCTCGTTTAAAAGAAGTTGTGTTGTGTAAGGAAGTGAAGTCGGAAAATTAATTATTTACGCGGATAGTTTCAATTCATCCCAAAATAGAAAGCTCATTCAACAAGAAAGAAATTCCAAGTCAATTTGTTCCTCTTCAATCATCATCATGAGCAATATAGCCAAATGGCTTCCAAAACAGAATAATGACATGAACAAAATCTTTACGGAAACAAGAAATATCGAACGTGAGCTGAGAATATTGGGAAAGATGTTTGCAACAAACATCAATTATACACAAAATCCAGAACATGTAAGTCGATGCGCATGAATAAAAGTGAATATAAATAAATAATAGAGGAAATAAGCATATGCTTGATGGAATGCATGGTAATGTGAAATGGAAGTTTCTTTCTCTCCTTTATATTCCTTTTTTATACGAGAATTTCAAATTAATTAATGTGAATGCGAACATTTCCATCTGATTGATGATCCTGTATGGAAGTTATCGGGACTTCTTTTTTCAAAAGCATTAAGTAATTGATGAATGTTGTGATCCTGGTTGTGGTGATATGCTTGAAATTGAATATATTCAATTTAATGAAGAGTAAGAGCTATCCGGGCAGGAGGTGCAGGTTTGGGGCCATAGTTTTAAATTGTTTTAAAAAACTCGGATTTTTATTTCATCAAAAGTTCTTATTAATTTTTAAATAATCCTCCAAAATGAGGTTTCACGAAAACCAAGGGCTCAACCCTCACACCCCCTTGATAAATTATCTTGCATAGCTGCTGATGTGCAGCAACGTCCCTAATCAAAAATAAACCACAGTTTTAACTACAATGCAAATTTATGCACTCCAAAATTTGCATAGTGATGTGATAATAGCGACAACATGTGTTGATTAATAATTCATCAACATGATGTGTGAAACTAATTCATCGATTTATGGTAAATGTATTTTAAATAAACATCCTTAATCCACCGCAAATTTGCATCAAACTATTCTATGAAAAGGGATTTTTTATTCATGAAAAAGTGAAATTAGATTTTGTGGTGATGTTTATGTCTAAAAAAATAATTTTAATTAATTTGAAAATTTGATAATTCTGAAAAATAAATCAAAATTTTTTATTAATAATCTTATTGGCATTTTCAATCAAAATTAAGAATTTTAATGATTGGAAATTTACAGCAAATTTAAAATATAATAATTTTCAGAATAAACTAGATTGTGGTTTTTGGTGAACATTTTCAATTTGCACAATTATGAATCACATCAATTAACCTCATTCCTATTAATCCCCAGGGCTATCAAGATTTACTGGACGAAGGAAATAAAGTATTAACCGACAGTGCTTCAACATTTTTTAAACTCTATCGAATGAGAAGCTCATCATCTGACAAAAATGTCGAACGTTCAAGCTTCAAAGTCTTGCTAAATTTAAAAGCCTTACAAATCCGACAGAATCTAAAACGACGTCATTTCCAGTTAATAGCTATTATAACAAAGCTCATCAAATTAATGCTGTGCAATGGAGTCTTCGAAGCTGCCTTCCAAATGTGTTCATTATTAAATACAGCTGTTATATTGTAAATATTCAGTTCCACTATATTTTACCATTTAATCATGATAAACATGTAATCAATTAGATGCGGATCTTTCATGGATTAACCATGACGGAAATGTGTTGTTTTATTTACTTTAATTTAATTCTCATTATTTCCTTCCTTTTTCCTATGGCATGCATGCATAAAGGACATTACAGAATACGAAAAGTGCTAGCGGAACTCTTGTCATCTCTAATACATTCCCGCCTCTGCTGTCTAATCCTAGAGTTATGCATATACATAGCTTGTTACAAATGGTTACTCGATATCGTACTGAGCAGTGCTGTGAGAGTTTGGTGAGCAATTAGTTTTAGTTTGTGAATATTTTTGGGGTGATTCATAAATTACGTCCAATAAAAATTGGTTTTAAGACATTGTGTGGTATTCAAATTGTTGCATAACCTTGACTCACTCTTTTAACAGAAATCATAGAAATGAGAACATTGATGCAATCCACCCAACATGCACTCATTTCATTGATTGCGATTAAAGCAACTTCAGTTGACTAAAAAGGTTATGACACAGAACGAAAAAAAAAATCAATAAATCATTGAGCATTGAAATTCTTATTTCCATAGAATCCATAAAGTTATATATGATAAATAAGCAATAACTAAATCCACGTGAATTCCATATTTTTGTCATGAATATTAAATATGCGAGTCATGCTGAGCGTGGAAGTTATCATCCATATTGAGACTTTGCAAGTGAAAATGAGACTAACAAATTTTTTAGTTTTGGCTTAATAAAACCAAGAATCTGCATAAAAACTATGACATATTATATATTTTCGGAAAGCTCTTGATTTCAGCTACATGAATTTTTAAAGCAAATTTAATTATATTAACAAGGGTTGGAATCCTAAGGGTTTTAAACTGTTGATCTACATACAATTTGGTACGACGCACTGTGCCCTGTACCTTAAAGTAAACAACTATATATTTAGTGAATTAGATTAACAAAACAACATATTAACAGACAACAGAGAGATTTTTTCGTTATCTTTCCTTGATTTTTTTTTATGAGTTATCAAACCTTGGTGATTTTTCTACCTGATTTTATTTTAAAACACTCTAGCTCATCCAATTTTCAATGTTTTTTAATTATTTAAACGCCATTTATCTTATTTTTAATTAACCTACATCTTGACGCTCAGAAAAAATCCAAGGGTTGGACACTTTGTCAAAATAAAAAACCAACCCTTGGATTTTTTTATTATTTTTTATGTTTAAACTATTAAAACTAAAAACTGTGAACTGATAAATAAGTTATAATCATTATTTAATTAAAATAACTTTGTATTTTATCAAATCAACCCTCAATAAAACGGAAAAATCAAAAAATTTTTTTAAATGTTTTGATAAATTCATTACCTTACTACAATTAAATTTTGAATTATGGATATAATAACATGAATCGAACAAAAATATTTTTTACAAAAATTAAAATTTAACGTTAAATACAAATTTAATGTAATGCAAACAATTTTTTTTTTAATTTTTCCGTTTTATTGAGGGTTGATTTGATAAAATACAAAGTTATTTTAATTAAATAATGATTATAACTTATTTATCAGTTTACAGTTCTTAGTTTTAATAGTTTAAACATAAAAAATAATAAAAAAATCCAAGGGTTGGTTTTTTATTTTGACAAAGTGCCCAACCCTTGGATTTTTTCTGAGCGTCAAGATAAAGGTAAATAAAAACTAAGATAAACGGCGTTTAAATAATTAAAATACTTGAAAATTTGGATAAGCTAGAGCATTTTTAAAAAAAATCAGATAGAAAAATCACCAAGGTTTGATAACTCATAAAAAAAAATCAAGGCAAGATAACGAAAAAATCTCTCTGTAGTCTATTAATATGTTATTTTGTTAATCTAATCCACTTAATATATAGTTGTTTACTTTAAGGTACAGGGCACAGTGTGACGTACCAAATTGTATGTAGATCAACAGTTTAAAACCCTTAGGATTCCAACCCTTGTTAATATAATTAAATTTGCTTTAAAAATTCATGTAGCTGAAATCAAGAGCTTTCCGAAAATATATAATATGTCATAGTTTTTATGCAGATTCTTGGTTTTATTAAGCCAAAACTAAAAAATTTGTTAGTCTCATTTTCACTTGCAAAGTCTCATATAATCATAAAGTAACTAATACTACGAATCGATCTAATAATAATAATGATGTATGTGCTGATATAAAACAGCAATATCATGAATCGTTTGACAACATGCTTTCGTGTTAAACTTACTACATAAAAAAAAAATCTTTTAATATCTTCATAAATTAAATCAAGCATGGTGACATTGTGAGTTATGATAAGTAAAATATTTAATAGTCTTGTGGGAATTATATTTTGTTGAAAGCTTTACATGCATAGATTAATGTTTTGGAAATGTTCATAGATTATTTATCTCAGTGCCAGTTTTGGAGAGTTGCATAGAATTTTATGTCAAGGTTTCCTCAAAACAAAGTCTATAGAATTTACATGAATAGCTCTGACATGACCGAATACCACACAGACACTTCAATCGACTTTATTCGTTCAAATTCTTTACATTCAGTTTCCATTCTAACTAGACCACCTAGATTCAAGCACCTATCCTGTCATGACCACATACCTTTACAAAAATCACTATTTATTCATGCACTGCTGGAAGCTTTGAAAATTTCTTTAACGAGAATTATCTGGGGCGTTTTTAAATTACGTCAATCGATATCCAAGACCCCCTCTCTCCTAAGTTGATGTTTTTTTTCTGTAAATTTATAAAACATTTACAAAACTTCAGATATCCTCCCTCTAATTTTGAACAGCATAAACGAACAACTTCTTCTCTATTCCAGCTGCTTCCTCAAAATTTATAGTCTCAAAGCCATTCATTCATCTCTTCATTTTCATGCACAGAATTTCAGCTTATGCTAAAACAATACATTGATTTTAAATACCTTACCATAAAATCCAATCCTTGTAATGACATTCCCCAACACTCTCATTTGTCTCTTCTAAAAAAAACTAGATATCATGCCTCTTAGCCACATGCAAAGCCGAAATGAATGATGAGACAGAATCAGAGGACTCGAGCATAGAAATTTATTTGGCACTGACAGAGCAATTAACAGAAGAGGAACTAGCAAAACAGAGACTTAGATTATTACAGGAAAAGCAAGCACAACAGTTACAAAAACAACAGATGGCTATAATGCCACGTCCACAACAAAAGTCTATCAAGATTCGTCCGATTGAAAAGCCATCAATGATAACAGACATCTCCGAGGAAGTTGAGCCAACTGTGACATTTTTCGACAATATGGTAAAGGAATCGAAACGTAAAGAGGCATTTATACGTGAAGAGTCTACGGATGGTGAAATCCTACATGACTTAATACGCATTGAAGAGATTTTTATCGCAACAATGATTGCTAAATGCCTTAAACTTTGCCCGAGCGCGTTCGAAAATGAAATTACGAAAGAGGAGATAATGAATTTAATCAGTCGAGCATCAAAATTTTTATGGACGAATGTCGGAGCAACACTAGAGCATTTCCTATTATGGTGGAGTCAATTTCCACTAGCTTGTCGTCCTGTAAGCTGTACCAAATATCTTAGAGATTATTTAATGCTTCTCCAACCAGATGATGCAGCTGAACCAATTTTATCAACACTTAAAAGTTTAGGCGAAATTCTGACTGTACATGTAGGTAAATGCTAAAAGGTTAAATCAATTAAAGTTGGATGTTTATTGATTATTTTTATTTTATTAACAAAATATTATTTAACTTAGTTGGAACATGCTGGGATAAAGATTTTCGGATGTGCTTGGTTTTAGCTTCACTAAAGGTCGAACAGACGCATGAAAAGAATTCGGAATTTTATTTGCCAGAGGAACAGGTAAGTTGTGGAGGTGTTAATAATATTATTATGGTGGATTTCTTTTTGAGGCAATGAAAAAGTTAAGAAGCTATAGAAGAAATTGAAATTGGAAGCATATTAATTTTGTGAGACTTGATTGATAGAATTTTACATCAGAAATTCCAAAAAAGAATTAATGGCTTCAAAAAATTTTCTCAGAAAATTTAGTATTATTTCATGAATTTAAATATCTGGTTTGGGAGTTGAACCCATATTTATTAGTGTGCTTTAAACCGGCAACACTACTATTTATACTACTGAGTCTATTGTACTGATGTTACTCAACTCACATATTGCATTGCATTAAAGCCTATCCTATATACATTACAATTTCCTAAAAGTAACAAATAAATCCTCTCTTCCTGTTTGTGTTTAAAATAAAATATTCATAATTGAACGCATCCATTGACCCGAATCGAATTCAATCGGAAATTTTTATTTTACACACAAAAACTTTTCCAATTCAATATTTTTTATAGATCCTCTTGTTCCCCTGCCTCACCGTTTGTGTCCACAAAAAACTCACAATTTTATTATTTGAAATTGAAAAAAAAACTATGTTTTTTTCTTGTAGCTGATTGGGACAACATGTGGATATTTCTGGGCTGAGCTGATTCAATCGTTAGTTCATATAACAAATTCATGCGACAAGGCAGGTACAATAGCTAATGAACTGCCTATTGTTGAACAAATTCCGGTTAGTATGCAAAAATGTTTGTGTTTGTGATGTAATAAATTACATATATACCCCATACCTTACGTTTATGCCATTTCTCTTTAGGTTTTACATCGTTTAGATCATTCCATACACACGATGCGTTTGTGGGCAAATACAAAAGCAAAAGAATTGTGTTCTGAATGGAATATGAACATGTTTTTTCGTCTCATACATAATGATATGAGTGGGATATGTTTGGAGCGTTTAAATGAAGTACGCGCTCCAGGTAAGTGTAGAATATACGAGCAACTCATGTGCTATGAATTTATTTATTTCTGTTCGACTTCAACTATTTTTTTTCTTCTTTCCTTTGTTTTATGCGATAAGAAAGTTTATGTATCAAGTTACTGTAATTTAATATGATTGGCATATATAGGAATTTTTATTCTTGAGTAGTTTTTGATTTGTTGGTCGGTTTGTGGTTCATTTTGGCGCATAGCTAAGGAAAAATATCAATTAAAGTCACTTTTTACAACCCTACAGCTCCGTCTCATTTTAAGTTGACCCACAAAAATCCAAAAAAACTGCGCTTTAAGCTCTAATCTCCAAAAATTCCTTACTCATCCATTTCACAGATATTTTTTATTCATTCTTTGTTGTTTAAACACCACGTAACATCATGTCAACAAAGTAGCATATCAATTTCCTGTATACATCTTTCATAAGCTATCAAAATGACTTTAAACTTTATGCTTTAAAAAATGTGATATAAAATTCTTTTTCCTGCTTGTAATGAACATTATCCTCATAAAATATTTTGTACTTACTTAAATCCATGATGATCTAAAGACTGAAATTTATTTTAATTTTTTCGTTTAAGTTCTCGTTGCTGAAGATCCATTAGAAGTTCATATACAGGTAAGATTTATATACTTACGGATAGAGTTTCTATAAGATTGATTACAGAAATTCACCCAACTCAAAAGCTTATTTAAGTTTCATCTGCAATGATCTCTCATTCCATCACTGATTATACTTTATCTGTGTCTTTTATATATCATTGAATTTGACTGCAAAAAGGTGAATGTTGCATTGCGAGCGAAGCTAACTGAGGAGATTAAAGAGAATACTATTAAAGTTAAGGTACGATGGAATGTCAATGAGCTTTCATGGCTTTCGATTTGAGTAAATATAAATTTTCTTTACTTTCATCCTTGCATGTTCTAGACAACTTGTTACGAATGCATTGAAATACTTGCAGTCATTTGTGAGACGACATCGCTTGCATCACTCTCACTCTACTTTCCACCACAACGCATCTGGCAATGTGAGGTTATGAATGTAAGGATATAGAATTAGATCTTATTATGGATTTTTTTGTTTTTCTTATTCTTTAAAGCCAAACCTGCTTACTTTCTTCGTGTTCCTTTTTAAACAATTTTGGAGTTTTTTCTTTTTATTTGTTTTATTTTATATGTGATAAGAGAAATTGGGAGATGAGCTAGAGAAGGTTGGAGGCATTTTGTCTTGTTGACTAAGTAGCGAACCTTATTATAAAGAATTATGTTTAAGCCAGAGCTCGAAGTCGATAGGGTTCGAGTCGATTCGAGTCAAAGGTTTTTCAAAGGTTTAAGATACGCTCTTTTTGGTTATTAACATCGATTTCAAGCTCAAGCATCTTTCAAATGCGCCCCAAAAACTCATTCTAACTTCTTTCAACTTTTTATTTCATTGCTCATCTTCTTAGTATCCCATCAAGTTGAATTTAAATCTCGTTAAAACATCTCTTCTTTCCTTCTCTCTAGAAAACAAAATGTTACGGATTATCATAAAAAATTCTACAATTTTGCAGAGTAAAGTTTTCTCGGTGCAAAAAAAAAGTTTTCTGAATTTTTTCATTTTTCTTAAATTCAATTTCTGCAATTTATTTTAAAAAAATAAATGTAGAACAAAATTCTCCTGTAGATAATTGTCGATTATCCTTTTTTTCCTTGCTATCCTAACAGAAAAAATGCAACGAATACGTTGGAATTTACTTGGATATAATGTATTTGCCGATTTTGGAATCAACAAAAGACATTGAAATTCTCAATTTAACGCTGAAAATAATTTGCGAGTCATTACTTGAGAATATTTACAACAAGCAAATAAAATTCACCATCTGTGGTGCTTTAAACCTTCTTAAAGACTTTGAAGCGATTGCAGAGTGGATAGAAAATTGTAAGGAAGTGCCTGACGCGTATCGTGAAAAATTGATGAAACATGAAGTGCTGAGATATTGCGAAGGGGTCGGAAAAATTCTCTTGAGGGAACCTGAGGAAGTTATTTCAATGTTTCCATCTCCAACAAAAGTCAAACGCATGGCATCTTCACAAGAGGAGGGTAAGTGACATCATCGTCAACCTTATTAGGATGTCGTATATTTTTTCACGTAAATTAGAAGCTCCCTAAAGTCCGTAACTTTAATCAGTGAATATTTTTGCATTGTTTGACGCAAAAAATTTGAATATATATATTTTTTATAGATATCATAAAAATAAGCTTTAATACTAATAATAATAAGCATACACATTTATGCTTTTGGGACAAAACTCAATGGAAAGCTTTTAACTTTTTCTTTTTATTGAAGCTTGTTTGTGGAACAAAGGATGCTTATATACATACTTACTTTGTAGGAAGTTTGACATACTGTTTGGTGTGCAGCTCCAGGCTAAAGAACTTAAAGTTTACGAAATGCAATAAATTCGAGGTCATTGAGAGACAGTAATGATATTCTTACATTCTTCAGTAAGAGCTTAATAAATAGGGTCTTAAAATTTATATGGACAGGGATTAGATCCGGGCTTCTCATGGAGTTGGTTCTACCACCACTAGACATTTTATAAACACAATTTTGATGGACAAATCTACTTCTTGTCAATTTAATCCTCAAACCTGATTTGAACCCCCTAAAATTATTTTCCAAAACCCTCAAAAAGTAACAATACTGCGCTCACATCATCCAACATTCAATGAGCTTTTCTAACATAATTTTCATTCGTCTTATTTTTCTAATATAATTTTTCAGATGAGGATAAAGCTCCATTACCAGCAGAAATGTTTGTTCCCAATCAAACAAGATGGCTTGCATTACGTGCTAGACGTCCTAGACGATTCGGTATCTGCACAAGCGTCAATAATGTTAGCGTCATAACATAAATTGTTGTCAGTACTTCACGTAACATTAGAGATATACTTATTCAATGGAATTTATGTTCTGAATCTACATTTTTTTTATTTAGTACATTAATATAAACCTTAAAGAAGAATGGAAAGTGGCACAATTCAGAGTAGCTTATTTAGAATAGCAAAGAATAGTAAACAATATTAACTCGAATGAATTTATTAGCATTACTTAATATCCCGCTCAGCTTTTATGTAGAAATTATACTTTTATATTAAGCTTAGGATTGTAATTTTCTATTTCTGTGGTCGCTTTTGTACCTTTTAATGTATTTTGATGTAGATTTTTTTTGGAACAGAATGTAAAGGCGTCTTTTTTATAGCTAGGGTAACCATCTAGTTTTCATGAAAATACAGGACATTTGGTAAATTTTTTCGAAAAAAACAGGACATAGAGTAAAATTCGAAAATTAACGGAAATTTTCATGAAAAAAATACAGGACCAGGAACAAAATTTAAAAATTTATACAGGACAGGGTTTTGAAATACAGGACTGTCCGTTGTAAAACTACGCAGATGGTCACCCTATTTATAGCTAGCTTTGTACTAAAGTTTAATGGTTCAAAAATGCGTCTAATTCTGCTTAACTCCAACGCCAACACCAACGATTACTATTTTTATTTCTCACTTCTTCGTCTTTAACTGCCTTGTTATGCCTTATTCATCATTTTTTATAAATTAACGCCTTAGTAAAAAAATAAAAAAAAGCCATTAATCTCATCCACTAACACTGATGCATTTGAACGACGTCTTTGAGATTTCCATTTTAAAATCTGGAGGATTTTCGGCATTGAATTATTTTGGAAGAAAATTTAGGGTCCAGAAGCAATATGAAATAATTGAAATTTTAATGGGGATACTGCCACTGATAGATCCCCCATGAGAAGATTAAAGATTGAGATTTTTGAAGTTCTAGCAGGGATTGGTTTTTTACGACCATTGTAAATTGAGGAAAATTTCTCTCGAGCTAGGAATTGTGACCTAAAAAACAATACCTTAACTACAGCCCTGTCTGACTTATATACATGCAGATAAAATAAAAAAAATTTCGTTGGAAATTAGACAAGAATACACAATTGCAATTCTTTGTAATTTTCTTAATGCTGTATGATATATAATTTTAAATTTTCTTTGCTTCTTTACGCGCTGCTAGATGTATTTATTTTCATTTCTTTCACTTTTCATTAGTGTAATTTTAGAGATGCCTGTTCTTGTTGCTTCTTCATTGTGAGAGTCTCATTGGTGGATGAGATTTAGTCTACAAAAATGCAAGGGTGTTGTACTGATTAAATGATCAAAAATGATCAAAAATGATCAAAAAATGATCAAAAATGATCAAAAAATTGATCGAAAATGATCAAAAATGATCAAAATGTAATTCTTCAGTTCCACACCCTTGCAAAAATGTGAATATTAAAATTATTTGCTTTAATTCAAATGGGGCCAAAGGGGTCTTTATTCTATTTAAGATTAACATTTAGACTTCTTTAGGACATTAAAAATGTATTAAAATCTAGGAATCCAAATTCATTTCGGAAATTTAAAGTTTAAAGCTTTTTCGATTTCTTTCTTCAATTTCGCATTTAATTTTTTCTCTCTCTAAAGTCTCACAGGGAACTGCCATAAATTTTATCATTTGTCGAAGGTTTCTTTCTCTTCTTCATGTACACATGCAGCCTCTATCATTCTACAATTTTCATTAGTTTTATTATTGATGCTAAATATACACATTCTAGTTTATTTCACACTCGAGAATTTCACCATTTCAGTTTTATTGATGCTAATATATTATTAAGATAATTGCACTCGGAAAGAAAAGAATTATAATATATAAGTAATAAGAACATAAATTTAAATATGTGAATAAATGAAGTTGGTGCTATATTTTGGTGCTATATACATGACTATAAATATTACCTTAATAAAACATAATGAACCTATAACAAAATAAACAACAAAAATTAGTTTTTTATAAATTCAAAAAGCACAATTGCCTTCTTGTTTTCCATTTCCATTTAATGTTAATGAGCCCTAATTGAATTCACGTCGGACTCATCGTTAAATATGTAGAACTTTCCTTCATAAACAGTATGGAAATTTATTATCATTAGCCTGACTCGAATAAAATTTTCAGCTTTCGTTTCGTAATTTTTCTGATTTTTATTTTTTTTTTCAGAGGGTGGATGAATTTTTATTTGTGTAATTTATTGGCCTAGAATCTAGAAGTTCTCAATCATTAAAGGTCAAGAATGAAAGCTCAAAGATTCAAATAAGAAGTCGTTGATTTGGTTGATTGGTTTGAAACTAATAGACAGTAGCTACTATAAAATTACTGTCCATCTCACATCCTAATAATATAATATATTAGATGCTATATCATCAACCGCATCTGACATTTCCACATTTTAATTAATGATCCTGTCTTAAATAAAATGAAAATTGTCCATTATTTAAAATTAATAAAGATTCCACAATATAATTGCGTATAGTTTATAAATCCACCATAAACAATTCGTGTCAATAAATTCTAATCTTTCCTTAAAGCTTTACATTTATTCACTTGTTAAATTTAGCGAATATTGTTTTGAATTATAATGTATAAATTTTCATTAAATTGTATATCCGCATAATTTCCATCCTATCTTTCATTTTGTTTCTACATCTAATCCTATATTGGCATTATCATTGTTATTGTGCTGTATACAACACTTTGCTTTTGCTAGCGCTATCTAGCTACATCTAATTTCTTATCGTAAAAGAAACATTTTTCAAGGAAAAAACTAGAAAGTTTGCTCGTTTTGCTTTATGCTCAGTCTTTGGGTAAATGTCACAATGTTTATATCTTCAAGGCAGAGAGAACTTACTGTGTTTAGGGTAGACTACACTAGGTAGCCTTAGAAATTAGAAAAGATGATGACAGACATCCATCATTATTTATATCTCTAAATTAGGCACATCCATACAAACTCACACAAAAGATAACACAAACTTTTTCAATTTTCATGTCTATCAAGCTCCGAAGAATGAGATGAGAGTATTTTAAATCAATTTAGTGACGAATGTTGAAGAAAATGATCGTAAAGAAAGCATTGAAGCGAATTTAAGTAACAAGATGGAAGGCATAGTATAGCATGATATAGATGAGTGTAATCAAATGATAAAAATCTCGTGACACACCACTCAATCACATAGATCTTCCATTTATTCAGTCGAATATACGTCCCTACTCACGATAACAGTATCATTTAAATCATTTTCTTGACTTTTCCTTTCCCTACTCTCGAATCTTTGCTGCTGCTGTGCATGATGATGTCGCAAAATTTAATTTATAATCTGAACTTTTTATTTTTGTTAATTTTCCTTTTCTGTGCTTTTGATTCTCTTTGTGTGCTGTGTTATATTGTGTTGAAACATCTTCTTCTACCCGCGAGTGCTTTGCTCTATGTATGTGAATCAATTCTCCTTTTTCTAAACTGAAAACAGCAAGTAGCAAGATGAAAAATTTTAAAAAATTCATTAAAATAGGATTTTCTGTTTCACAACATATAAAATATACAGCAGAAGCAACACCAACTTTATCAACAGTTCACAGAAAATTGAGGAAAAGAGAGATTTTTAGAGCTTAATAGCTAGGCAAAAAAAGAGAAACAAATGTGGTTGAGAAATTGGATAGAAAATAAAATTGTGGTGATTCTGAACACTCGAAAATGTCTTGTGGCATTGGATTCAAAATTGGAAGAGATTTTTGGATTTTAATTTGATTTTGGGGAGGTTCAGTTTGTAGATTTAGTTGCAGTTAATGATTAGTCGTGATTTCTATCAAATTTAAAGCTTAAAGACCTTCATGAGCCAAAAATTCAACAGTTGTGACTTTTTAATCCACTACGTCTGTGGGTCACCTCTATAAAACTGCATAACAAATTCCAAATAAAAAGAAATTTTTTTTTGTCATCCTCTATTTAGAATACCCATGCGGAAAACCTCAAGCAACTAGAAAAATGAAAAATAAAAAGGTAGAAAAAAGCGAACAGAAACAAAATTGAGTTGTTGAATTGCGGAAGTTTTTCAATTACATTTGCTCTGCAAAATAAATATTATTGGGTGTGCTTTCGTCCTTTTTATTCTTTCTGTCTATAAAGCACACAACATAACAGACTTTACCAACTTAATAAAAAGTACAGGAGGTGACAAACAAATAGCATTTGGATTGTTTAAAAAACTAAGTTAAAAACAATTTTATTTAATGACTTTGAGTGGATTAATTGTTGATTTTTTATACTTCCTTACTTCCTTGGCTGAAGCGCACGTGGACCCATTGCCGCGTTCAGAGATCGTCTAAAGACAGCTCTATCCTTCGAAATCTTCTGCCAGTTCGGGATATTAAGGACTCTAGTGTCCTTATCAACACATTGATTTTTTTATAGTGCCAAAAAATTCGATGATGATCATCATGATGAGTTTAAGTTGATGTACAGACAGGTACAGACATATTTTTAAAAAAAAAAAAGTTTCAAAACATCAGCTTTGCTTTATCAAAGCAAATAACTTTATATCCACAAACACAACAGAATTCCTTTTCAAATTCACTTTAATATAAATTTTCAGTAAACAGCAATGAAAGAACAATGTGATTTATGTTCAATCTGAACCAACGATTGACGATTCGAAATTTTTAATAAAACTCTTCTTAAATGATCCTTTTGGATTATTCCAATTACGTTCGAGCTCATATTTTGAAAGTTGTTGCTGAACTATATCAAAGCCACTAATCGAACTGACATTACTGAAGCTAGATTTCAGTTTTTTCGATTTTGCTGTTGACGTTGTGTCCGATTTTGTGCAGAGCATCCCTTTTAATGAAAGTTTTTTCTCAAATCTGTTCCTTAAGTCATCAAAATAGACATGCTCGAGTAGTTTCTTTGCTGTTATTCGATTATCTGGATGATAAGCAAGAGTTCTCTTTAGAATTTCAATTCCATTTGTGCTTAACATTGGCAAAATTTTGTATAAATCGACTGGTCTTTTATCTTCAAAATCACATTCATAATTCATTTTTTTGAACCTTGTCAGCATGTATTTACTTGGCTTCCCGAGAATACGATGAATTTTTTCAAGCTGATCCGAATCATTAATGCCAGGAAAGAGTGGATGAAAAGTAAGCATTTCATAAAAGACACAACCGAGTGCCCATATATCCATCTTTGGTCCATAATATCCAGGTGCTAATATAATTTCCGGTGAACGATACCATCTTGTTGATATGTATGGAGAACGTGGAAATGGATACTGTGTAAATGTAGCAGAACCAAGATCAGCAATTTGAATTATTTCTGCTTGCGTTGGATTTGATTTTAACAGTTCTGGATTAATTCGTAAAAGACAATTTTCAGGCTTCAGGTCTCGATGAAATATTTCATTAGTATGAAGGTACATCAATCCTTGACCAAGTTGAAACAAATAGTTCTTACAACGTGTTTCTGATAACTTCTTTTTACGATCTTTGATAAAGTCGTAGAGTGAAAAATCCATCAATTCAAATAATAATATTAAACAATTATCTTGAAATATATAATCGATGATCGTAGCCACGTTGTCATGAGATGTAAGTTTTCTTAGCACTTTCAATTCAGTATAGTCTTCTACCTCTTCAATGTTTACAAAATATCTTGTCAATCGCTTTGCTGCAACTAATTCTCGTGTTGGATCTTTCTTCGCTTTAAAGACTTCTGAAAATGCTCCTTCACCGATCTTATTTTTGAGTATATATTTGTCATTTTTTACTGATGTCAGCATATTATGAATACAACAAGCATAAATTTATTATTTTAGAATAATTTATTGTCGTTCAAAACATGTTAAATTTTAAATATACATGCTTACTATGACATTTGTGTTCATTTGTTGAGTTTTTGCATATCAACATTGAGTGGGAGTTGACGAATTCCATGCAATGAGTTTAAAACAGTTTTTTGAGGCAAAGGAACTGCAAAATCATAAGAAACCGTAAGTGAAGAGCATTGACATTGAATATCAACACCTGTTGCAAGACAAAGCTAATTTCCATTAAGTTCTATGATAATTCACATCATATGGAATACATGGAAATTTGCAAGTATTTGCTTACTATATTAGCAATTCAATTGTTCTCAAAAGTCATACAAACAAAGGAGCTTCATAATAGTAAAAACTATATATCATATGAATACATTAACCCGTGCCATAAGCACAAAACAATGCAAAGCATCTGCTTTTATAATCCATTTTTTATACTGAATATAGCCACAACTCGGTCACAATGTCAGCAATAATAATAATTATATAGTAATAGCTTTTTTATTTTCTCATGAATCGAGAAGTTCTTTTTGTTAAAATAGAAACCAAAAATTTATAGCAGTGTCCGACCAGCATATAAATTCAACCGAAATAGCAACCGTTTATGGCAAATTTTCCCACGGAATGTGAGCCAGAAATGATTATTATTGCATATTGTCGTGTCTTGGAATAATTCGAAGATGAAATTTGATTACAATTATTAACTTTGACTTTCATTTATTTTTTTTCTTCATCGATAACATCAAATATTGTAGGCACGTATCATGAAACATCATCATCATCATTATCCGTGCTGTAAGAAGAGAAAGAAGGATGACGATTGACACGAGTGAAATGAACTTCTAATGGTTTATCAATAAATGTATATTTAGTATCAAATGTGAAAATAACACTTGAGATAAACAAAACTGAGTGTCAATGAGACAGTCTTGTGGATATCAATTGTTATTATTAGAGGATTAGGAGTGTGAACTCGATTAGGCTTAATAGATATTGTTTTTAAAACATGATATAGATAACAAACTCACCCAAATAGCACAAGTCGGTTAATCGAAAATAAATTCAATACCAAACTGGATTGACTCCGATTTGAGTCCAGCACCATGCCAGAGTCACTCCAGCTTGGTGTCAGCATCCTTTTCGATTAACCGACTCTTGCTATTCGGGTTATGAACTTCCTTCTTTATTTAAAAGTTTTTGCAAGAGCTTCAGTAAACAGAAAGCTCTCAAGAGTCCAATCCCCTCAATTTTTGCAATGTCTGCTGAAAATTGCCAACATTTTCTGTTTCATACGCATAAATATCAGCTCCATTTCCTCATTCTTTCTAAAATGAGGAAAAAACACTTTGCTTTCTATTACAAACGCGGCATTGCCACTCATTCTCAAGTGCCGCATTTTATTCTTCTTCCTTTGTGCTCTTTTTTTTCCACGATGCGGCATACCATTGAAATTGAAACTTTCTGTCTCGCAACCCTCTCATTGAGTTGAACTTTGTTCATCCTCCTTCCATCGCATCCACAATAGAGAAAAAAAAAAAACAGAATTTATTATTCAGCACAATAGTTTGTACTTTAGAAAATAGTCTAAAGCGATGAACAAAAATAAAATTTCATTTTTACCATTATCATAAGCAGAGGGAATCATCATCAGTAGCTTACATCTTACACATTGTGAGTTTAAATCCCCATAAGAGCGGCAAATGAAGAACAAGCGACGTTTAAGGAAGAAGACAACGGAAATTCCATTGTCAAAGTGTTAAGAAAAGGCGATGACTGGGAAATAATAAAAGAAACATTTCCTCTCCATTCTTGTCTCTCTCGCCTTCGTTCACTTCCATTTTTTCACACCAAACAAAAAATGTGAATTTGTGCGAAAAGAAAAAATTAGAATTTCCCTCTGTGACAATAGACTACGACGGGTTGATGTTTTTTGTCATTGTGCAGAAAAAAAAGGAACGAAAGTGACATCTCAGCCAGTTATTTCTTTTTTTTTTCGAAGCTTTAACATTAAATTTCTTCTTGTGTCAGTCTTGTGTCTAACATTCGTTGTCGTCTTTCAGTCAAATCATCATGTTGTTTAGGTTAATGATGAAATATTTTTCGCAAACTCAGTTAAACTGCCACTTTCTGTTTCTCGTCGACATCGTTGTTGTTGGTGGACGTTTCTTCGAAGGAAGGTGATGATGATGGATGCAATTTGTCTAGGCTTTTGAATCTTAATTTGTCTTGAATAAAATTTCTTGTAATTAATGAGTCTGGGCTGTAAGAAAATTGTTTAAAGTGGGAACTTCCTTTGCTTTTATATGATTTTGGCATGTTTATCGATAGGAGTCTACCTTAGTTATCCATTTCGTTAAATTCAAATGAGTTCAAAATAGACTACTACTCGCTTATGTATCCAAGATTTAGTCTTACTTGCTTCCTTACTTTCTTCGGTGACCTTACATATCAATTGTGATCCATGGTCTCCCTCAGATGCCGCCTAAAACTGGATCTATCACTTTCTGCCGCTTACCAATGACCAATACCAAATGCAATACTATCTCTATTAACATCGTCTTTCAATTAGTTCGTTGGTCTTCCACGTGCTCTTTTTCCATTCACAAAGTCAGACTTAAAGACCTTACTAAATGGAGTTTTCACAGGTCCCCTCATAACATAAACAGCCTATCGGAGTCTGTTTAGTTAAGCACTTCCTTTTAAATTTGACATTTTTCCTCCTTTAATTTTGAAGAATAAGAAGTTTCGCAATTTTGCAATCTAAATTGCGATCCTTAGTTTAGTTCGTATATCTTTTTAGCATTACTTGACATCCATTAGTCTCCTTCAACCAATGACTAGAAAATGCGCCTCAATTAATCATCAGGTAACTTAAATTCTAACTTGTTAATTCATATTTTTTTTATTTTCCAAAAAAAGAAATGATTACATGCTGGTGGGTGTAAATGAACATGATGTGGATATCACGTTAAACGAGTTATAAAAGTCAGAAAGTTTTTCATTGCAAACTTTTTTTTTTGTTTTCACTCGGTTTAACATGCTAAAGTATTTTGTTCTCGATACATGATGAAAATATAATTTAATAGGATATTAAAGCAATTAAAAAATTAAGCATGAAGGAAAGAAATTTTACAGCACATTAAGCGGAAGTGAGAATTGATTAAATTTTTTGTAACTTTTCCAATTTGTTTTTTGGATTAATATGTTTTTGTGCTGAGTGAATTAGGGCTGATGAGAAGCAACTTGAGTGTGATTTGGACTTCGATGGGATATCCAGGAATTCAGCTTTAATTTATTTATTTTCTTAGTTGCTTGAAATTATCAAAATTATTAATATTCAAAAAATTTCTCATACATCCATCAGTTTAATGCCCCATTAGCTTGTCATCTGCTTGTCATAACGATGAAAAATTATTTTTATCAAAATTTTGCATGTAAAATTAAAATCAATATGTTAATGACTCGAACAGGATATTTGACGACTAAAAACTGCTTATTAATTGTGACGTGGGTAGTTCTAGTCAAATATTTTTAGATATTATAATGTCACTCATGATGTAAGCCCAAAGACGTCATTATTGCTTAAAATATCCGGAAGATATTTTGATGGATAGACAACAATGTGGTTAATGACTAGTGTAAATCAGTTCATTATTTAAAATAACTACATGCAAGGATGTAGTATTAATAAAGTCAACGGATTAAATCTAAAAGTCACTCAAAAATTCATCAAAAGCAACACGTTGTACAACAACTGATTACTACTCTTATAAAACCATCAAAATGCTACATCTTGTGCCATTTTCTTTTTATTATTACAATAATCATTCAACTCTACGTACACAATATTCTAACACTTTATGAAATAATAGCCCACCATATTAAGTTAAGCGATAGGCATCAAGATGATGAGATATTATTACTGTAATTTGTGGTCTCAAATTTGCTGGTAATAAAGTTTCATGTCTATGAGGTTTTTACTTGTTTCTTTTAAGGATGTAATAATGGCATCAAAAATTCTTGCTTTTTTTCATTAATTGACTAGGTATGCTGACTTATTTATGTAGGGGTCTGAAGCTGCGTTAAGATCGAGGGGATGAAGCTTCATTGAGCGGATAAATAACGGTCACTTTTTGATATGATATTTAAGTAGATAAGAGTCGAATAAAACGATTGATTATATTAAAGTATATTTAAACTGTGTTTAAACTCTACAATTTATAGTCGTGATTTATCAAGTAACAGAAGTTTAAGTCCACGATTAGAAGAACCTTATTGTCTATAAAACTGCTTAAAATTATCATCATCAGAATTCCTTACATAAGTTACAATCCCCCTAAAACTACGCACATCCATCAAATCCTACCTCATTTGTTTTTTATATCACAATATGATCGAATGCATGATTATATTTCATTGCATAAATCCTGAAAGAATGAGGATTGCAAACAATAACCATGTGTCGTTATGACAACGATGCTTATTGTTTATCATGGACATTCACCACATACATACATAAGGGATTTAAACAACAATAAACAAATACAAATTCATTCATTGAAGCAATCTTTTCACGACTTCCATAACAACGAACAAAAAAAACATTGTTTATTTCAGTCAATTGTCATTAAAATGCTGATTGTAAAAGATTTTAAGTGGACACAAACAGAAGATGAAATTTGCATTCGAGTACCACTCAAAAATGTATCGAAGGATAAAGTGGATATTGTGACGCATGAAAACTTTATAAAAATTCATGCATCACCGTACTATTTTGAAGCATTTCTCCTCCACACTATTGTTGAAGATAAAAGCATTTGCCAATTGATGAACGATGAGGCGAGATTCATTCTTGTGAAAACGGAACCAATTGAGTGGGAGAAACTGGAACGGGATTTTATTGATAACATTGAGAAGCTTAAAGTTAAAAATGAAATTCTTGCTAAAGTTCAAGAGAATGAGAATGAAAAGATCAAGAAGAGATTCGAGTTGAAAGATAAAATTAGACGCAGTGAAGTAGAAAACGCAATGGCTAAGGATGCAGAGGTAAGTACCTTTGAGTTTTTATCATGTTTTATGAGCAACTTTGGTGCTGAAATTTTCCCCATTTAGATTTGAAACTTTTATTGCATGAAAAATAAAAAAAACTAGTTTCATGATTACGTGCTGTAAGGGGAAAATATTCTTTACGACAACCTTACTTTTAAGGTTATTTTGGAAGCCTTGTAAAGTGTTTTTTGCAATATGCGCAGGTATAATTTAAAAGAAGCAATAAAATGTCATAAAAAAGAGGTTTTTAGATTTTTTGCATCAATAAAAAAGTCATGAATGTGCTGAAATTCTGATCAATGTGATGTCTCCTGTTAACAGAAGACGTCAGGTTCAGCAGACTGGTGTAATTCCTCTTGACTGTATTTAAAGATAATTGGAAATATAAATTCAATATAAATATTGTAAAAAAATGGTAGGTCTGTCAAGAAGCGTTATATTTAACGCCTAGCCAGGCCTTCTCAACTCAAAAAACATCAAGAAAAAAATTTTACATCTTCCTTAGGGGCCGTTCACTTATTACGTTACGCAAAAAAACGACTTTTTTCACCCCCCTCCCCCCCTTGTTACAATATGTCACAACCCCCCCCCCCGAACGTTCATAATTTAGAACGTTACATACTTCTTGACCCCCCCCCCCCCCATTGTTACATTTTGTTACACTTTTTCAAACCCCCCTCCCCCCTAAAATGCGAACGTAATAAGTGAACGGCCCCTTATCTCTTCCTTTATTTTTAGATTCGCGAGAAAATTGAAACTGTTCAAAAGCAGGCAGTTCAACGTGAAATATCAAAAGTTGAGGAAATAAAAAAGTCAAAGAAAAAAGAAATTCCACCGAAAGCAACATCAAGAGCAGTTGAAGTCAAGAAGAAGATTGAATATCATGAACCACCGCCTGTTCGTCAGTCAGGATCAATTCAAATCGCATTCAGTAAGCGAAACTTTTTAACGCCCAAAAGAGAATCGCAAGATCCAGCCGAGCAAGAGTGGCTTCAAAAAGCAACCGAAGCAAGAAAATCAATTGGCTTTGTTCCTGACGATTTGCGCTCCGAGGAACGTGATCCAATGTATTTGAAAGGAAAAGGAGATGATTTTTTCCGACAAAAGAATTATCTTGCCTCAATATCAGCTTACACGACGGGTATACAGCTTGCAAAGAATTGTTTTGAATTGTATTTAAATCGCTCGGCTGCACAATTTGCACAAGGAAATTATCAACGATGTGTTGAGGACTGCTCAAAAGCTTTAGAATTGCTGGATCCGCCAGTTGCTTCTAATTTGAAGGCTCGTTTACAAGCTGTAACTAGACGTGGAGCTGCTTTAAGTAAATTGGGTTTCGTTAGGCAAGCTTATGAAGAATTTGTAGCAGCTGTCAAATTAGATCCGACAGATGAGCTCCTTAAACATGATGCTGAAATGCTAAGAGCTAAAATTGAGAACGACTACTCGAGTGAGGATGATGATTAAAAAAAATTCTCTTTATAGTCCGTTCCTTCTTTTTTATGCTTTAATCTTGTTTGCGATGTATTTTTGATGGTCGAAAAATATGAGAAATAAAATTAAAAAGTTGAAATTTAAGCTTGTCAGTTTTTTTTTTGTTGTTGGGATTCTGTGCTGCTTTGGTGATTATGCTGGAATGCTTGGAAGGGGAAGTGGTTTAAAAGTTTATTTTGTGTTGGTATTGAACCCCTTTAAAGTCTAATGAAGGATTTTGCTCCAGAAATTTCACACATTATTCCAAGTCTTGCTCTAAAATTGTAATTTACCATAAGAAAGTGTAAAAAGTTGACGATAAAACCAACTTAGTTCCTCAAATGCTCTTTAAACTTTCTTCTCTTACAATTCATACCAACTCGCCCCATTCCTTCATTCTCCTATAATAAATAACATAATCACCATCTTGTTTTAAGTGACGAATTTAATTAAACATGATGCCTGCTCGCAGCATCTATCCATTGCAATAAAGCAACTTAATAAATGGATGGATAATGTTATTTGAAAACAGAGATAAATTGTTGTTCATTTTGTAAATTTAAGACAGTTTTAAAGCTGAATTGATCACAAAAAGCTTCAAGTTTCAATTCTCAATGTAGACCGTTCCTCTCAATGACAGTGAAACTTTACAAGCTAATTATCGTCATCATTAGTGAAGAGACAAATAGATATTTGGAGCATGTAAAGGAACAGCTATTTTACGAAATGACGCCATAGTAATTTTGCAGACAATTCCAAATCACATCAATAGAATGGAAATATTATTTGAACTAAGATACCGTAAATAGCTGTCAAAAAAGGTCATCCGTAAACTTTCCTTTTTGCTTGACTAAAACTCTGTGAGTCTCCATTTGATTAAATTGACATTTGTCAAGAAAATCTTTTCTTTTCGCATTCTTCTGACTAGCTTTTGTAATGAAATGGAATTGATCAAATAATACAGTCAGTGAGCATTTTTGTTTGTTGCCAGAGTTGCTATTGATGTGAATAATTTTGCATTTATAAAGAAATAGAAGCTTATTAAACTTTTGAACTCTCAGTTTTGTGACTCTCAGATAACAACTCATTCTCTGCTTAGTCACATCATCAAATTATTTTGAATTAAGAAATGCCAATGTCAAGGAAACAGAACAAAAACTCTTTGAGATCTTGAAACTATAATTGAATTTGTTCTTCCTTTTTAGAATCTGAAGTTAGCCGAATCTTCATGAAATCGCATGAATATGTTTGGAAATTGATCTTGTTGCTTGAATTTTTACTTCTTTCTTAAAAAGTTGTGTCAAAATTACTTTTAGTTCTTTTTGGTGAAAGTTTGAAGTTTTGGAATTTATTTTTTAATGTTAAGCAAGAACTTCAGAATTTAAATGAACTGAAAAATTCCATTTCTCTTGCAATAATCATTCGGTTGACTACATTCTGTGAATGCACTGCCAACCGAAGTCAAATCTTATTCAATTCAGTCTTCAAAAAATCATTCTGTTGAAAATCCAGAAACAAACACAAATTATTATCTGGAAACTACCAAATAATAAACTTCAATTCTAACAGCATCAAAATCCTTGACTCTATAATTATGTTAAAGCTCTAAACCAATTCTAAACTGTACAAGAACATGATTGAGTTCTTGTTTTTGCATAAACATTAAATATTGAATCAATAAGTAGACAAACACAAACTGATGATGGAACTATTCATCATTTCCTCATAAACCAACTCAATTGATAGATGTTTAGACACAAAAGATGAAAGCATGAATAGTTGAATGCATTTGGCGCTGTCGAACATTAGACATTTTGCAACACTTAAAATTGCATTTAGTTGAATATTTTGATAGCTGTACGGCACACAAAATCGATTGCCTCATAATTTATGCATTGAAATGTGTATAATGGAGTTGATGCCATATTTACTTGCGACAGAAGGCAGTGTGTTGTGTATTTAGATAACGTCAGAATGAATGGATCTGTAGTTTATCTTGTTTCTTATGTCATACCGAGAAGCATATTAAATTGGAAGTTGGTTGTTACTTTTTCTTGAAGCTCATCGAACTTTAGTGTTGAATATTGAATCAAGACTCTCTCTTTTTCTAGCACTGAGTTGGACCAATTACACTTTTCAAACAGTTCTGAAGATCTTGTGGCTTTAAAGAAGCTAAAACTTGCTAATGAATTCCCAAAAATAATTGAATTTTCAATCAAAACCATGAACTACTCGGGAACAGAGATCGAAGCCGATTTTTTCGGCTTAACTCAACTTTTGATTTTTTTGATAGAAAAAAGCTATTTAACACAGGGGCTGTTCACTTATTACGTAACGCGAAAAAATGACTTTTTAGACCCCCCCCCCCTCGTAACAAAATTTGTATGAAAAAAAAATTTCCTTGTTTGAACCGTAACAAAATCTTAGACCCCCTCCCCCCTAAAAGCGTTACGTAATAAGTGAATGGCCCCACACATATCAAGTATTTATATTGGACTTTACATGCTTTACTATGATTCTGTGAAATATTTTTTCAGCATGTAGCTATAGTGAGCTCAGAATTTCAAGTTAAAGAATGTTAAGCCGAAATTTAAGCCGATCGGCTTAAAATCGGCTAAATTGAAATTCTGAGCTCACTATAGCTACATGCTGACAAAATATTACACAGAATCATAGTAAAGCATGTAAAGTTCAATTTAAATACTTAAAATGGTAGTTAAATGGCTCTTTTCTATCAAAAAAATCAAAAATTGGGTTAAGCCGAAAAAATCGGCTTCGATCTCTGCTCGGGAATGTTCTTGGCACCGAAAATAAATGACAATAATTGTCATAAATCTAGTCCTTATTCTCCCACATCCCATTCTCGCCTTTCTTCAATACAAAATATTGTGTCAATTGCTGTTTTATCATAAGCTCATCAATTTTCATTCTCCTACAATTTTGTGCCATATCCACACTGTGAGAGGATCAAAGCAAAAATATTTTTATGCCAATATGCGTGCTGCCAGTCGAAATGTTGAGACAACAACATGAATGCAATGCCAAGAAAAAGAGGCTTTTAACTTTCAATGGATTAGTGCCATATCTTGTGGCTTAATATAATTTGATAATCAGTAGCAGTCTTAAAGAAGAGCAAGCAACGCTTCCAAATGTCATTGGATGAGTGCCAAAAAAATATCTTCTCGCCTGCCTGCGGATATTGCCAATATACTATGTAAATTGTCATAATTATGGATATTGTGACTGCAAATCTTCATTGTAACATGGTTTGGGAACAAAAAGTGGATACACGTGGCACAAATTTTGCCAAGTAAATATTCATGTCTCTTTAATTTGATTACATTGCTTCATTCAGTGCTGATTAGAGTGATTTTTGGCATAAAGAAAATAGCATTGAGAAATTCTTCCTCGACGTTGATTACTTAAACAGTAAATCTTTCATCTCAAAACAACAAGTGAATACGATTGTGCCTGCATAATACATAAAGTAATTGCTTTAAAAGCAATATCATTTAAAGTAGAGCATCCGCGCACAGTGAATGATGACAAATTTATATAACAGCCTGTCTATATCATGTAAATAAATTGATTCTATTCATAATATTTTTAGCAAATATTCAATTTATGTACGTCAACGTATAATAACCGTAGCTGGGTGTGTTGCATAGGCTGGACTGAACTGTTCTGTTAAATTTAACAGAACTATTCTGATAATTTTTTTGGATTTGTTCTGCTAATTTAACAGAATTTTTCAGAACTATTCCGATAAGTTCTGTTAAATTAACAGAATATTTTACAGAACTCTTCTGTTATTTTATTTTTGCGATTCGCATTTTTAAAATTTTTTTTTTAAAAACTGTTCAGATAAAAACATCAGAATATTCAGCATCGTAATATCAGAACAGTTCTGATAATATCGGAATTCTACTGTTAATTATCTTCACTTTTATTATATTATTATCAAAGGTCATAAAAGCCAGTGTTGATAAAAAAAGGTGCCTTCAAGCATAGTCTTGCCCATGACCAAGGCAATTGTCATGCAATTTCAACTTGCCTACGCTAGGTTTCACTTTTTTTCAAGACAGGTGCTGATCATCACCTTTACATGAAAGCTACGCGTAGATTTTTGACCTTTTTAATAATTACATCATGAACATCATTCTTAAACACTAACCTTCAGCACTTTGTTAAAGACATTCAGTGGCGTAGTCAACGCGGGTTTTTGGGGCAAAACCCTTTTTTTTCGAAAAATTTCTGGCTAAACTTCTGAAGACATTATTAATCTAAGATTTCATTTCAAGCACTAGAGTTCAAACTAGCAGCATAAAAAACTGGAGAAAACAACTTCAGGATCTAAAATCTTTTATCAGATAAGGGGTCATTCACTTATTACGTTTTAGCTTTTAAAGGAAATCTAGGATTTTCTAATTTATTTGTTCAAACAACTGATTTTCATTTCTTAGAATATTTACTATTTGGGTCAAGGTTTAAGTATTTGGGTCATAAAATTGTTAAAATTTTTTAATATAGGGCAAATCCGCGGACAATAAAAAGCTCCAAATTTTTGTTTTTCTCAAATTTCTCTTCTATTTGGCTATTTAAGTGATATTTTAATACCAAAACATGCGTATTTCCGACAAATGTACAACTTTCGATAACTTTGGCATGAAATAAATCATTAATTAAAGAGATATTTTGATTTTTCTGGCGTCAATCTCTCCTGCAATCGAAATTTATTTTCAAAAAAAGCAAAAATTTTCTTAATTATAAATCTAGACAGCACCAGACTTGTTTTATAGCATTTCAAATTTAATTTTCTACCACATTCTTTTATCAGGTGTTAAAAAAAGTCACTTAATTAAGAGAAATTAAAGAAAAAAGCGTCAATCTCTCCTGCAAGAACACTTTGTTGCAAAACATCAGTTTAGAGTATTTTTTCGTAACACACGATAAATTTTCAAAAGTTATAAAACGTTAAGATCATAATCAGTTGAAATATCTAAATTATGCAGTGACTTAAAAATAATGTTTATTTTTGTTCAAAAATTGTAACGAGTTTTTATTTTTCAAATTTTTCCAAGTAGAGAAATATTACAACTCGCTTT